ACAATTAACAATTAAAAATATTTAAAAAGTATTTCAAAAATTGAGGTTGAAAAAGATATCTTTAATTGTTCAAATAGTAATTATGATAAACAAATTGAAGCAAACAGAATAATATAAAATCCTATCTACTTTTACGACGGGGGAGAAGCTAGTCTCCTCTGCTCATTTTTTTCATATTTAGTAGCATTAGTTAGTATTCGCTAATTATCTTATTCTTCATTAATTTTTACTATTGTTTGCTGCTTTTTTCGCTTTACTATTTTCTTATCGTTATTTTCTATTCAATCCTACATGAAATAGTCATTTATTTTAAGTCGAAAATGATTTATCTATCAAAATATATAGCCTCTCTATCTTTTTGTATAGGAGTAAGATTAGCGTACATATTCTAGTCATAATACATACACGTGTCCTTTAACTTGGTCTCAACTGACATCTATACTCTCTAACTTGGGATGTGCATAAGTAACACTTAAATTTGTATAAATTTGAACAAGTAGACGCATGCATCCTACGTGACATAGAATACATATAGAATGTGCCATGTAGGACACAAATTGGCCACATAGGACGCATATGTCTACTTTTTCAACTTTATACAAGTTTAAGTGTCTATTTATACACACACAAAATTGAAGAACATATATACAAATTGAAGCCAAATTAAAAGACGTATTTATGTATTATTTGCCTATTCTATATATATTGTTATTAGGGGAGCAAAGTGTTTGTCATGCCTATAATGGAATCTCTTTCTAATTATTAAAAACTTATATATATTTCATGGTGGGTACTAGGGGGGGATTTATGGCATAGACTAGAGGATCTTATACTTTGTTCTTTTCCTACTATTAAAATTCATAACTTAGTAAAATAATTTAAAACGTTATCTAATGAAGTACTGTGTAAAACACTTTTTAGCTTACTATACTTTTGTCATAATATATTTTCTATGTTATTTTGTCTACTTCGTGAATCTTCATTTTCACTAATAGTTTCTCATTCTTTCATTCGTTAACACGAGGTTTTTTCAAGAAAAAGAAAATAACCATCTAGTTAAAAAAACGTTTTAATTATATATATGTACAGCTATATATCTAGTGAGAATCATTTCGATTATATGTCACGATATTAATATAGATAGGAACAAGTGAATCATCGCTTTTTGTGTACAATTGTCAACTCAAAAGTTAAAAAGTTGATGCACTAGTTGGTTGCTAAGGTGTTGTGTCTAGTATTCTTGGGGTAATTTGATAGTGTAAACAGAATACATACTGACGGTTTAAATAGCTTAACAAGGGTGGATAGAGAGGGTTGATTATCGATTCACGTACTAAGTAGCTTGTATATATATATAAATAAATAAAAAAAAAATAAAAAAAAAAAATATATATATATATCACGAGCTATTAGTGATGAAGTTCGTAGCTAATCTAGTTTTTAGTGATATATACAAAATATTTTATACTAAACTTATTTATTATTATCGTATTAACTTAAATTATTCTAAAAACTCATAAACTCCAAAATCTAAATCAATGCCAGGCTTACACCCTTTTTGAAATACTTATAAATAGATGCTTACTCCCCCAATTGAGCTAAACCAAATATCAAAATAGTGAATCTTGATCTCTATCTCATCTCTCTATTATATCTTTCTTCATAATCTTGCACAAACTTCATTATTCTTTTTAGTTTTCTGAAATTTTATTTTAAAATGGTGAAGTTTGTGGAGTGTACCAATTGCCACACAACCTTACAACTCCCCAGTGGTGCTCAGTCGATACGCTGCGCAATCTGTTGCGCAACAGTATCGACTGACACAACTGAACTTCGAAAGACATCCCGGTTAACATCATACATGAATAACTACTTTCCTATGTTACACGGTCGCGCATCTCCCACGGCCGGACAGAAGATTCAACCTCCTCCGGCCTTTGGCCGGAAGAGGGCTTTGATTATTGGAATTACATATAAAAACACTAAAGATGAGCTCCAAGGATGCATCAATGATGCTAAATGTATGAAGTTCTTGCTTGTCAATCGATTCAAGTTCCCTCAAGAAGCTGTTATAATGCTCACTGGTAAAATATTCTCTCTTTTATTACTACTACTTTTTTGCCAAATATTCACTTTTACCGTCAGAGACGAAGCCAGAATTTTAACTTTATAGGTTCTGGATTATAGAATGATGACTTCAATTGTTAATAATTGAGTTTTAATCTTATTTGTTTGAGATATAATGTTTTGAATTTAATAGTCAAAAACCCATCTAAAGTATTCCTATTTTTTGAGTTTCATACCTGAACATCTGAGCTATCAGATGTGCAAGTTTTCTACCTAAACTGTATTATCACCAACTATTTATCAAAATACACCTCAACTATCGACAATTGAGTCGAGGGTCTTTCGGAAACAGTTTTTCTGTCTCCACAAAGTAGTGATAAGGATTGTGTATACTCGATCCTCCCCAAACCCCATTTATAAAATTTTATTGGGTATGTTGTTATTGTTGTACACCTCAACTATAGAATGTTCCCTTTTTCTACCTAAAATATACTAAGATATGAACTGTCAGTATATATAACTTAAATTTTATCCAAACTTAGTGGATTCTTTTGGTCTGAACTAAGCATCTGATGCATAGTGTGTTTAATGTGTGAAAACAGTGTAATCTACTTTAGAATTTCATTGAGTTGTCCCATTAACACATTATAAAATACTTTCCCCAAAAAAATAAAATTTAAAGATGCCCATAGGCTATAGCTTTCTTCAATCACACAACTTTAAAGAAAGAGAACCACTGTAGGATTTCACATCACTTTGTTCTTCTTCAATGCTTTATATGACTATAATAGCTTTCTCCATAAAAGGGAGTTGCCTCCAAAGGAAATGCTAATTCTCTATATGGGTATCTCTTTTAACGATCATTCATTATAACAACATTTCATTATAATTAGTTATTTTTTTGGAATCGATTGTTTGTGAAAGGTCATTTTATATGGTTCTTACAACAGCATTTCGCTGTAGTAACCAAACAATATCCATACAACAACGTTGTTTTAAAGAGATTTGATTGTATAACCTATGGAAATGAGATCAAGTAGGTAACTAACTATGTTGGACAAGCGACCGTTGGTATTTCATGAGCGTTAACCGACGTATAACTTCAACACTAAGAGCTATGTTAGAAAGATTTAAGTTATATACACCGACAGTGTAAAGAATATTTGTTTACCATTAGTATAATGAGCATAAATGGAGTGACATTATCGACACTAGGTGGTTTCTTCCCATCTGTCTAAGCCTTAGCTTGGTGGATAGAGTTACATGATATTTGTGTTGATGAGACGTAATAGACACCCCATGAATTAGTCAAGATGTGTGCAAGTTGGCCTAGATACCACAATCATCACAACAACAACAAAATAACTTATTTGTGATAAAACCAATTTTTTCATCTAGTTGTCCTAACTTCTAATCTTCCATTTTCTCACTTACAGAAGAAGAAAGAGATCCACACAGAATTCCAACTATACGTAACATAAGAAAAGCAATTTATTGGCTAATGCAAGGTGTTAAAGCTGGGGATTCTCTGGTGTTTCATTTCTCTGGTCATGGCTTACAACAAAGGAACTACACTTTAGATGAAGTTGATGGTTATGATGAAACACTTTGCCCCTTAGACTATAAAAAAAAAGGAATGATTGTTGATGATGAACTAAATGCAACACTAGTTAGGCCTCTTCCTCGTGGCGCTAAGCTTCACGCCATCATAGATGCTTGTCACAGTGGTACTATGCTAGATTTACCATATCTTTGTAGAATGGACAGGTCTGTGCATGATACTACTACTTTTTGTTCTACTTACTCCTGTCCAAACTATTAGTAGTCGTTTTACGTTTACTCTTAATGCAGAACTGGACGATATGTGTGGGAAGACCATCGTCCTCGATCAGGAACATGGAAAGGAACAAGTGGAGGAGAGGCTATATCTTTCAGTGGTTGTGATGATCATCAAAAGTCAGCAGATACAGATGTAAAATTCACTTTTTTATCTGAAGTTAATCAGCCTAAACAAAGCCAATTAAATGACTTACTTGTTGATGACAGAGTTTGGCCAAGGTCATGTCAACTGGTGCAATGTCCTTCTCTTTCATCCAAGCAATTGAGCACGGACAAGGAACTACTTATGGAAGTATTCTTAACGCCATCAGATCCTCCATCCGCAATTCTGATAGTGATTTAGGAAGCAAAATCGCCAGTTCTCTTCTCACAATGCTAACTACCGGCAGAAGCAGCTCTGGCTTTGGGATGAGACAGGTAACTATAACTTATGAATACATTTACTTATCGCTAGAAATAGATATTCCCAGGAACAATATACACAAAGAAGGGATCCTCAGCTCAACGAAAAACAGTTCATATTACACAAAATGATGTTTGAAGTATAAATATTTCATTGTTTACATTTTGGTTGCAGGTGCCCCAGTTGACTGCTAATGAGACATTTGATGTGTACACCAAAAAGTTCTCAATATAACATCTTAAGCAACTTTACACACCTCCTGGTTTCATATAGTTTGGGTGCACAGATACCGATTGAAGTTATCGGAGAGAGAAAAGTCTTGAGGCTACGCTCCTTCAAGCCTTTGAAAATAAAACCTTTGTTAGATTTCCAGTTCTTTAACCTCTGTATTGCTAAATGTACTTAACATCTTTCTTGCCTTCTTTTTTCTTTGTTCTGTTTCCTATTCAAAGAACAAATGTAACATTTCTTGCCATAAACTCCTAGAGAATGTGTGTTTCCATGAATGGAAAGTTGACACAAGAAATATATGTTTGAACGCGCTACACTACTCGTTTACTCAAAATATTGGACAACGTTATGTCTATTTCTTTAGCAGACAGCATGAAATAGACAGAAATTAAATGTACGTAAAGCTCTGTAACAGCAATTACAGAGACACGGAGTGAGAACTGGGAACCAACACAAAAAGTGCATCCCAAGATAGCAATTAGGGAGCATGAGACAACTGGATAATTCTTTTTGAACAATCTATTCTCATTACTGCAGTTTAGCTTACAGCTTATATAGCAGCAAATAAAACATGTAAGGAACCTTGTCCAAATCATTTATTCGAGTAATGCAGGACTTAAAACAGAAATCATCATCATTATCAGCTTATGCAAAAAGGGTGAAGAAGTTGATCAATCGGACACAAAGGAAAACAGAATTCACCAAGGACAAAGACTGTATTGCAGTTTGCTTAACCAGTGAGAGCAGCATTAAGGGCGCTGTGTACATCAACTCCAATCTGGGCTTCAGCTTTTTCTACATCGGTTGATGCAGTGTTTAGCTTCTGAGTGAAATCAGTGAGGCCCTTTTGAACCAAATTGGGGTCGATGCGATCAAGTGGTACAGCTTCAATAGCAATTATATCCGCAAAAGAATTTGCATGAACAAATGCAAATCCACCACTCACAAAGTACTTGTTCACATCGTTGCCCTCGTGAACTGATAAGATACCAGGCTTCAGCTCAGCAATTGTTGCTACATGCCCAGGTAAAACACCCATCTGTCCTGTCGTTGCGGGGATTATAACCATGTCAACCTGGATAATAATGCAAAAGAGAGGAGTGATCAAAGTTTGAATCAGATTTTCAGAGCCATTGATGCACATTCATCATAAGCATACTATTAAACCTCACACAAGTATTCCCACATAATTTGACAACTGTTGAAACATTGAGCTAGAAAATGTCTCTGGTTTATTAAATAGTCAGCATATAATACTAAACTTAATGAGACTACAGTAAGAAACTGAAACTTATCAACAATTTGTGGAGCACCTTCGGAAATTAACCCAAATTTTGATAACGACAAGTTTGTCAAAAGACAGCAAGACTCCGCGTAAATTTAAGACCAATTGAACTGCTATATTAAGGTTGTTGCATTATTCATTTTCAAAAAAAAAGTTGTTGCATTATTGCCTTGTAGCATAAACTGATCACTTAGACCAAGAAAAACCAAATTTAAATATACAAATTGAAGAGAAGTTGTTTTTCCCACAACAATGACTGCTAACTAATTCACTCCCAGAAAAGAAGATTTCACAAGGATTTCTGCATGAAATTACTACTCCCTCCGTCCCAAAATAAGTGTCACTTTAGCAATAATCATACTCATTAAGAAAAATAATAAATAGAAAGGTATAGTTCACTAAGTTAACCCTATTTAATGTTTCTTGAGAATTGAGCATGACTAATAAGTAGTTCTTTAGTACAAGAGTATACTTGGAAAAACATACTAATTTTTGTCTTAAGTTCCTAAGGTGACACTTATTTTGGGACAAATTTTTATTGCTAAAGTGACACTTATTTTGGGACGGACGGAGTATTTAGCAAGAATAGAGCCTGTTTGGACGGGCTTTTAGCTTTTGGCTTATTTGTCTTTTTGGCATAAAAACAAGTGCTTAACAGCACTTCTTTAAACCCACACACTTATAAAGTGCTTAAAAGCTATTTTGGCTTAAAAGCACCTAAAATAAGCCAATCCAAACAAGGCTCTAAGATGCAAAAAGGCTGCAGTTTAAAAAAAACCTTCATGAAGCTTAGATTTGACTCACTGTCACTGCCACAAAAACTTCCTGTAATCCAATTGATCCCTTAGGAAACAGTATAAAAACAATATCCAGAGTGGGTACTCATATTGTCCCACTTGGCCTGCTTAACATTTTAGAATGTCTCCCAAAATGTAAATTATAAATATGCCCCATCTCCTTAACTCAAACTAGTAAGAGTAGTTCTATTTGTTGTGTGGTCACCCATTTAAAAGCTTAAATTGTTAGAATGGTTGCACTTTGATTTATTTAATTACATCTTCAACACACTTTCGCATCCGGGCCTGATTCTTTTTCATGAGCCAAGCACATTGAAATTTTTTTATGACAATGACACTTGAACATAAAACCTCTAACTACTCTGATGTAATATTGAGGTGTGTGATCACCATCTAAAAGTTTAATATATTAAAGAGGGCACACTTTTTATTTTATTTGATATCTTCAACTGACTTGATAGTTTTTTTTTTTTTTGATAACTGAGAAATCCGTCTGTGACCCACCCTTTGGACCAATCACAACCTTCTAAACTAGGTGGATAATGGGCCCGCCCCTCTACCCTTCTCCACTTAAATACCAGGCTTCGCTTTGCATGGTGTGGGGCATGAACCTGCGACCTAAGCCACAAATCCTCCACCTTTTGCCACTTGAGCTAGGCCTTGGGGGCAACTAACTTGATAGTACTCCCTCCATTTCAATTTGGTTGTCTTTTGCTTGTCACCTTTCTTTTCCAACATCTTAAAACGTTCTTTTGCTTGTCACCTTTCTTTTCCAACATCTTAAAATGTCTGCACCAGTGTCAGGCATTGCCCAACAAGGGCATAAAAATATGGAAAAACGGTGTCATAGCTGGTATGTTACTTGACAGTGTAGAAACAAATGATTGAGTTTCTGGTTGTTCTTCACATAAGTAACATCACACAGCAGGAAATGTCTTCTTTGAAAGGTGATCCATGTTAAGCAAGCTTCCTTAGCAAAAATCCATGGAAACAAGCCACCTTACCTTGTAAGGCGTTTTTGTCTACCGTATTTGTCTCCGATAACATGATCCAATTTATTGATCCTTGCTTGTCAGCATCCTATAGCAAGAATTAACTGTACAGCAGCTTTCGTTGTGTATTATCCAATCTCCATAGTAACTTGTCTTCACTACTAGAGAAAACCTTGAGAAGAAACCAGTGAACTATAGAGTTCAGCTACTGGGTTCATCAGTCATTCAAATGCCTTCTATATGTTATGTTCTAAGCTCATCTGTTCTACCATCTTCCAAAAAAAACTTCAGTTAACCATACCTATCTGAAAAGATCTTGAAATTGTTACTTCAAAAGCTAATGCCCAATAAGATCTTCCTACCATCATCAACTTTGAAACTAATTTTCTCCAAAACTATGGGCTGCACAGATCTTTTTTTAATCAGTACGCAAGGATTTTATACTCTTTTAGATTGCCACCCCATGAGTAGTTCTAGCTTTCTTGGTACACCAGTAACCATCTATCTCATTGTAAGCACTTAAAATTTATTCGATTAGTTTTTAAGTCTGATTACATGGATTAAACTTACATCCAGTTTCATTTGGGTTGAACAATTTATTTGACTTATCAAATAAAAGAAGTCAATTTCATTAATTTCAAGTCCAAGATCTACTTCATTCGGACATCCAAACTCAAGCGACATATTCAAAAACATGACATCCAAGTCAAATCATAGGCCAATGAAACAATACCACATGCTCAAATGATGTGGCATGTCAAGTCAACGTAAAGACCAATCAAAGGCGGAAAAGTGTACAAATAACATGGTTCAACCAATAAAAATACAACACTATCACAGCTTTTGTGATAGATTTGATGACTCAAGCCAACCAATCAAATTGAAGAATTCATCACGAACTACCTTCTCGTGCAACTATAAATAGGAATCCTCTTAAAGCCAAAGAAATTTGAAAATACATCAAGCAAGCTAAAGGAAAGCTAGAGGAGCTCTAAAGAAAAGCATTTTCAAAATCTTCTTCTACATCTGCGATCTTAGTCAGCAATAAATCGAACAAAGTTCAAGTCAACACTTCAAGCAGGCGTTTTCAATTCTTTTGTTCATGAAAGTTAATCTAAAATCCTAGTTTGTGGTAGATCTCATCCCTTCCATAATAAGCCAAGAGCCCTTGAATCGATGTTTGTGAGAAGAATCAAAAGAGATGTCATTTGTAGATCCAGTGCTATCATAGAGATTGTAGCTCGTATCGTCTCTATATAATACTAAATATTGTAATTTGTAACCTTTTCTTATCTTGAATATTTTGAATTTGTGTTCAACAAAAAAATTTGGCATGCCCAGTCGGACAAATTTCTTTTTCCTTTTTCTCTTTTGATGCTTACATATGAGTGTTGAAAGAGTTTCCCATCCCAGCTCCAGCAAAATGGTACATGGCATGTTTCAACCTATCCAATCTTTAACGAAAGATGTAAATTGTATGTTCTGACATTTCAATTTATAACAAAAAAGTATGTGGAACATACTTTTCTTGCATTAGCGAATGAGTGTATGAAACGTCCTCTTCTCAAGACTCAAAGGAGGAGTACACGAGGCATCTGATCCTTCAAGATTTGGTGGAAAGTATGTGAGCATCACATTAATCAATATTTGGCAGAGAAATACGTCAAACATCCCACCCTTTAAGTGGAACAACCTTCACTTGCAACTTGACAATAAAGTGCATGCGCATTGAAGCACCTTTTTAACACGACTTGATGAAGGAAAACATGGAGTGCTCCATCCTTCAAACATTCACCAAGAAGTCGTGAAGTGTTCCATATTTCAAGCTTTGACGTGAGATGGGGGGCAGAAGTACATAGCATGTCCATTATTCAAGCTTTTAAGAGAGAAGTACACAAAGCACTCTCTTCTTGAAGCTCTACGGAGAAGTATATAAGTGTCTCCTCCTTACGACTTGGCAAGAGACACTTAGGGGTCGTTTGGTACAAGGGATAAGGGATAACAATGTTGGGATAAAATGCAGGATTTTTGTACCCTATATCTGGTTAGAGGTATTAATTAGTTCCAGAATTATTTATCCCACTATTTGTACTAAAATGATGGGATTAGTTATCTCATATAAATGGTGGGATAACTAATCTCAGGGGATATTCCCATCCATGGGATAACAATATAAAGAGGCAATATGAGTTATGATTCCTAGAATGTCACAAGATCTACAAATGACATTCTTTGATTCTTTTACTCAAGAATCTTAACAACAACTTTGTTGTTGGATTTGATCATGGATGAAAAGGCATGTTTTTATTTGGAATTTATGTGGCTTTCATTCAGCTTGCTTGATGTATTTTTGTTTTTTTTGGCCTTATGGAGACCCTATTTATAGTAGTAGGATAAAGGAATTTGTAACGAGTACAATCTTTTTTCTTCAATTTGATTGGTTCAAATGAGCCATCAAACCTATCACAAATGTTATGTGATAAGATTGTATTTGATTGGATGAACCATGTTATCTGAACACTTGGCAACCTTCGATTCATCTTTATGTTGACTTGTCATGCCACATCACTTCCACACATGACATTATTTTATTGGCATGTGACTTGATTGGAATGTCATGTCATTAGATACATAGGCATGAGCTTGGTCCTCCAAATGAAGTAGCCATTAAGCTTAAAACTAATAAATTGAACTTATTTAATTTGTAAAGCCCAAATTAAGTGTTCAATCCAAAGATGAAGTTAGACCTAATCCACATATTTGGACTTAAATAAATCAATGTAGACTTGTACCAATATTTCAAAAACTTGAGCATTGAGCCCATTTGAATGAACTAGTATCCCATTTAGCCAAGTAGACAAGATTCTGGGAGCCAGGAGTGCTTTATTTTTGGCCAACTAAATGGACAGACACTTAAACTTGGTACATTTTTTGGCCAAATAGATGGACAGACCCTCAAATTTGGCCCCAACTGCCAGTTTGATACTTGAACTTACCCAGTGATAAACTAGACAATTCAACTTGACATGGGTATGTCTCGTGGACACCTAGTGCTAACATGGCAGGATGTTAGTAATTCACCCAAATTAAGTGTGTGAACTTTTTAAGTTTGTGCTTTAATTCTTCTTTTTTTGTTCTTGTACATTTCGCTAACAGGCCTCTTTTTTTATAATTGAATCCCCATAGCCACTTCATTACTAAACCCTTAGATCTTTGATACCCAATCCTCAATTTTTTTTATTCTTGACAAGGGTATTCCATTTGACCAAGCTAAAGGACTTCCCTTTATTATTACCTTGCCGTAAGAAATCTCTTCTCACTTTACTAATTATCTTTCCCTTTATTATTACCTTGCCATAAGAAATCTCTTCTCACTTTATTAATTATCTTTCTCAATCTTGGCTGGCAAAGGAAACAAGGAGATCACACAAGTTAGTAAAGAATCCAACACACTGTTATTAATTACTAATACTTCACCAAAGGATATGTATGATTTCTTCAGGCTTTCAAGCTGCTTTTCATATATTTCCAACCCTCTTTGCTATATCCCTTCAACTTTGTGTCTTGAACCTAAAGGAAACCCAAATGCATAGTGGGCAAAGTATCAGACAACCAAGAATTCCAACCAAGCTAGCATTGTTTGGCACCTTATTGACTGATAACAGGTTTTTCTTCCATTTAATATAAAGATCATAGTTTGCTTCAAAAACACTAGAATCAATTTCAAATGACTTACTTGATCTTCTACATCATCACAACAGACGAGGGCATCATCCACATACTATAGGTGAGAGACTTTTATATTACATTAGTTGTTTGTTAAACTTAATCCCCGTAACCATCCATTTATGTCATTCACTCTCAACATTCTGCTGAAACCTTCCATCAGTAAAATGAATATGGAGAGGAAATTGGGATCTCCTTGTTTCAAGTCACTTCAAACAAAAAAGATTGCTTCAAGAATTCCATTTATGATTATAGAGCACTTAACAATGCTCACATAAAAATTCACCCGAATTATCTATATTCTATTGAAACCCATTTCCTTAAGCATATAGGCAATAACACTCCACTTAACATGAGCATAGCCTTCTCAATTTCTAACTTATAAGGACTCCCGGTGCATTCCCTAATTGTCTTGTGTCTAGGCACTCATTGGCTATTACCTATTAGTGCAACATCCATGTTTGGCCTTCCCCTTATAAATCCATATGTCATTATCAACCAGCTTGTACACCAGTATAAACCACCTTTTTGAGACTCTCGGTTGATATCTTTGAGATAATCTTGTAGAGGCTCCCAATCAAACTTACAGGCCAGAAATCCCTAAAAAACTCCACAGCTTCAATCTTCTTGGGAGTTGAGGACCTTAAGGCTATGAAGATGGCATTGAACCTCTTTCCAACCCTCTCTTGCCTCAACAGAAACTATGGAGTTGGGATCCATGTACATTTAAGCATGCAAAATAACATTTTTTCTGCATAACTTCATGAACTACAAATCAGTTGAATCTAGATGGAGTATAGTACACCCTTTCTTCTATTTTATACTACAATATCACCATTTGGAAAGTCAAACAGTTTTCTTATCACTACAATCTTCTCAAACATTTTCTACATATTTGTAATCATAAAAAAAATTCCAATCTATAATTCAAATCGAGAATTAGATTCTTTACCGTCATTCCTTATGGATTCGTACAGCTCCGACACTGCAAACACCTATCACATATCATAAATGAAGGAATTCAAAAGGAAGAGTTGACTATCCATATTACCTCTTTACCAGAGAGTTCAGAAGTGTAAGGAAGGACAAAGTTGACAGTAAGCTTAGACGGAATCGACGATGGAGTAGCCGGTCTAGGAGCCATAAACGCAGATGGAGTTTTCGGTGGGTCCACATTGGGAACAACTTTCTTCCAAGCTTCCGTGAAGTTGGAATCTGCAACGTACCCCGCCTGCAGGTCGGTTGCAAATGGACGGCGCCACGTCATCGTGGTGGCTCTGGCTAGGAATCGAGAACCGTGTCGAAACATTGTTCGGTGAGATTACGCGACGGAGATCGACGGCGATTGCAGAAAGTGATCGGAGTTTAGCAAAAAGAACGAGGGTTTGATGGAAACGACTGACCTTTTGGATCTATACTAGGCCCAAATGCAAGGAAATTTATAAAGATAGTTAAATTAAATATCAAATTATTTGTTATTTTAAAATAAAATTAATTTTTTTTATCATTTTATCATTCGAATTAATTACCAATAAAAATTACAAATATCTCACTAAAAAAACTATATTATAAGACATAATAAGAATAAAATAATCAAAAGATCCTCCTAATTTATATTTTCGTAAAGGATGTATAAAATGCAAATACGATAAATAATTTAAGACATAGCAAAAATTGATATTAGTTCGTTCTTTTTATTTGACTATTTTAGTTGGTATATGTTTATGATGTTAATTTTGACTTATGTTAATAAGTAAATTAGTGAAAAGAAAATTTTCATGAAGATTTATTTTAATAAAAAGTAGATTATGTCAAAATTTTAAAGTTGAATTGTATGATGAATTCAACTTAAAATTATAAAAGTGGTAGCATAAAAATAGAACCAAGTCAAACATCATTTACATTCCAAAATGAAAACTATGTTATTATATATATAAAATAAAAATAAAAGAATAATGTCCTTAATTTTATATATGACAATTTTTTACTATTTGTTAAGCTTGACAATCATAGTATATAATCAAGTTTCCATTTCTTGTTCGATACAAAACTTCCTCGCGCATATAAGATATTCATTGCATATTTATATTTACAAGTTCTTGGACGGTCGCTAAAGCACAATTGAATGTAGATATCATGAACGTAAGGTGCACGATACCAGACAGAAAAACTAGATAAAAGTGGGCACTGCAATAACTTGAACAAAAATATTTGGAAAGGGTAAAACCTGTCTCAACAAAAGAAATAGGAATTCATTGGGTGCATACAACTAATATCGCTGACTACAACTGCTACAATATTACCAAAAATGAAGAACTTATGACAAGGAAACCAGAAGGGAAATTGAGTTAGTTGGTAACGAGGCTCATCCCGATGGGTTTGCTTATGCCCATGAAGGTCTGCTCTCTCTTGCAATATCGTTCTTGATCCACTTCTGGATCCTTTTCACAACAAAGAAATACTGCCAGAGAAAAAAGTCGGGGGAGGGGGGAATGTTAGCTGTGGTCAATACAAGAATCGCGTGTTTACTAGTGCAACGGAGACAACTTTAGGCGGAAAGCTCACCTGGAATGCTGCGATAAGAGGAATCAGCAGTTTGCCCTTGTTGTTAGGATTTGGTCCTTCGATCAATTTTTGATCAACCAAGATACCCTTGCTTTCACTTACGACAACTTCAGTAATAGTTTGGAGTAAATTGGGTATCCAAGCAGTTCCATTCGGTAGAATCTGTTGAACCATGCATACCACGTTACAACAAAACAATGTACCCAGTGTAATCACGCAAGTGGGTCTGAGGAGGGTAGAATATACGCAGACCTTACCCCTACCTTTGTGGGGTAGAGAGGTTGTCTCCGATAGACCCTCGGATGCATACCATGTTAACAAACATCATATATTAGAAAAACTTAAGAAGCCAATGCCACACATATCTAACCTTTTCGTCAAGTTCATTCTTGTTACATCTCCCACTGTTCTCAACGCAAACAATAGGAACTGAAGAAGCCTAAAAACCAATGACAGTAAGATAAGTAAAAAGGAACAGCTATGAAGGATACTTCTATAATAAGCACCATTAAAACAAAACAAAAAGAAATATATAATCACTGTTCCAAGTAGGGTGCTAAGCAAGATGGCATGTTTGCCAGCTGACTGCTCTACTACATCCTCTTGCTCACTCATACAGACAGAAAAAAAGAAGGTGAACGACAGCTTTTCATCACTATCACGGTTCGTTGGTGGCTTCTAAAACTGAAGTTCAAGTTATCTAAAACAATACATATGATCCACCACCACTCACGGACGCGCGCACACACACACGGGGTGTGCAAAGGTGGAGACATGATGAGTTCAGAAGATATCATGTAGCAAAATTGAAAGAAACACGAACAAAAAGATGAGATAAGATCTGGATAATCTGCATAGCTGCTTAACTGGCACCATTAATTGATAAGTGAACATTTTAAATAGACAACTCCTCTCTCGATCTTATTCGTGTTCAATTGAGTTACATCAGCTCAATTGGCTCCGAAAGGAAGTAAGTGGAGTGAAATGGAGTGAGATCATCCTAGTATGAATGTTAGGAACAGGCATCTTTGAGTGAAGGGAACTCAAGAGAGGCTCCAGTATCTATGTACCATTCCTTTAACCTGACTAGATAAACTCCAGCTGTTCTTTTATAAACGGAATTCAATTTGGCACAAAAATGAAAGGTAGATACCAAATGCAAATTGTGTTGTGCCAAAGAAAATTTGACCCAGGAAAGTGGAACAAGATTGTAAGAACCCTGAAAATCTGCTTCAAGAAAAGAAGAAAGTAGTGATCCTGACACACCTTAACCTCTTGTTTCCTAATTCGAGCTCCCAGGCGGACAATTTTCAAAAGCGCCTCTGATCTTCTTGAAGTGAACTCGTCATAACTCAATCCATCAGGAGGGGAGACCTGAGCATGTGTGAGGACCACAAGTCCTCTATGCCATATTTCCTTGCCAAAACTATCTGTTATGGCCTTCACAATCTGCCTATCCAAATTGTCCACTCTATATGTATCAAGACGATCCACATAGAGCAAAACATCAATTGTCTTGTTCAGGAGGAACCTGGTTGGATCCAGTTACCGAAAGAATTCATTAGTGAGACAGGTGTGTTGAAAGTCAGACAAAGGACTAGGCATCCCTACCAGACAACTGGAGCAAGAGAAGTTATGAAAGTAAATACTTACCTCTTTATGAGATCAAGAGCCTGGTCATTGACATATCCTCCTTCAACCAGCCCGGGGGTGTCGATAATGTTCAATGTAAATTCTGCCCATGAACGTGACACCATCACTGGTCTTGGAGTTTCTGACTGAAAAACAAGAAACCTTATTTCAATGCCCTAAACCTCAAGAAAGCATCTAAGGTTTCACTTTCAACTAAATTCTGTAGCAGTATGTACCTGAAACGCACTGACAGCAACTGCTCTTTCCCCTAAAATTGAGTTAACAGTTGAAGATTTTCCGACACCACCTTTCCCCATTACTAGGATTGTCAATGTACTTACACTCTACAACAATTGAATATAAAGTAATCGGAAAACATTAAATTTCAATTGCAGAAGGATAAGCCACACATCAGCCAAATAATTGTGCATAAGTCTCATCTAGACTAGACATTAAAAAACATAACTGTTCACTCCAGAAAAGACAGATAGAAATTAGCATATCTGGTAACGAGAGAGACTCTAACCTCCTGCTTCAATTTCCGTATCAATTCAATTAACTTCGATTGAGTGGCTGAAGGAAACTGCTGAAATCCAACCCATTCTCTTATCACCTGAGATGCCATTGATAGCTAGCATGCAAAACAATTCTAGGTTAGAACTAAAATGTGATGAAATTAGAGAAGGTACAGTAAGTAGACATGTAGATTGAGCAAAGGAATATCTAAATTAGGGGAATAACTCCAATCAACTTCGCCACAATTCCAAACTATCGGGGTCCTCATATGGATCCTCTACTTTTAGGCCACTCTATTTAGACATACATAATTTGCCTAGTCGATTGAACAAAGAAATATCTAAAAAATTTATATAACCATGACGTTTGGGCCAGCTTGCACGCACCTCAATAAACTCCACGAAATACATGTTACCTCCCACCGGCACATATAAAGGGAACATCTAAAGTTAGGGAACTAACTCCAATCAAAAACCAAAAACTAATCTACTATGCTCAATCCCAAATTTGTTGGGGTTCTAATATGATCCTCTACTTTCTGTCTCTCTATTTAAACAAACACATATTGATATCATTCCAATACTAAATAATTTGCTTATTACCACAAATTATTGTTCTCTAAAACTCACATTTAACCTTGTTGACATGCAAATCACTAACTAATCTAAACCTTCGTCCCAATTAGTTAGTATAACCTATTTGGACCAGTCAAGCATACAACAAGAATAACTACACTTTAGCCCCAAAAAAGTTAAGTCGGCTATATGAATCTCACTTTTTTCATTTAAATTCATTTTATATCATCGTCGTAGGGTTCATTTTATATCATCATATCATAGAAAGTGACTTTATGAGAATATAATGATTAGTTTAGTGACCATCTAAGAAATCAGCTCCATCATCATACTAAATAAAATAAAAATAAACAACAAGTAACAAGAATTTTATTTATTTTTATCAATAATCATGGTATCCGAGCCAGCTTGCGCCAACTCCATCATCATACTAAATAAACAAAAATAACAAGATTTTATTATTCTTTATAACCGTAGTGTCCAAGCCAGCTTGCGGGCACCTTGACTAATTACACTTGATTACTTGTCACCTCCCACCAGCAACACCAACCAGATAACTCTGTCTACCAAGGAGTTACCAACCGTCTCCCACCAGCAACAAATATGAGATAATTCTATCTACCTAGGAGATACCTATTGTCTCCCACCAACAAGAGATGTCAAATAATTCTATCTACCTAGGAGATACCTAGTCTCCCACCAGCAACACACTAGCAACAGATATCAGATAACTCTATCTACTTGGGATACCTACCGTCTCCCACTAGCAATAGATATCAAATAACTATGTCTACATGGGAGACCTCCCACCAACAATAGATATTAGATAACTATGTGTACCTAGGGATACCTACCACCTCATTCCACCTCTATCCACTAATTTTAGGACATATAGGACAAAATCACATGATATGTTCGTCTCCGCTGAAATTTGAACCTGCCACCTCATAGTTCTTAACCCACTTCATTAATCCGTGGGTGCACAAATAACGAGAATTAGTTCTAGATAAACCTAAAATGTTGGTCATATGGAATGCCATTAAAACAAGTAAAGCTGCAAGAAAATGAAGAATAAAGCAAAATTACAGCACTCGTTTAAGCAAACTCACCCTAAATCACAAATAGTACTTACTATATTTAAGGATTACAAAATGAAAATTTAGAAAAACGAAAGTTATAGAGAAACTCACCAATAAGATCGGTAAATAGCTTGTATTTGTTTGGGAGTCTGTATTCTCACTTCTCAGTGTAGTAGTTATGAAGGAAGGGTTTATGGAAAGAGAACGGCCTTATCGTTTTCATGTGTTAGCCCCCACCCTACCCCAGCCTCCCTCAGAAAAATGATATAATTATAACTTAAATTTTAAAATTCTCTAGGCTCCGCTTGGAATTTTAGAGAGAAAAGAATCGTTAAAATTTAAATATAATCAAATAATATCACATGAATTGAAGTATAAAAAGCACCTTATATTGAGACAAGTTACAACACTCCTCGATAGAAAATAGAAAAATCAAACTTTAATAATAATGACTAAGTCACATAAATATTATAATAACTCATAAATTGTGAATACTTTAGCTAAGATTATGACTTTTTAATTATGTCAAATCAATGTTCTAAAGTGATTTTCATGATTCATTTGAGGCTCATCTCTAGACGGGGCATTTGCAAAATGTTCTAAAATTCATGTGTGAGGCTTAGTTTCAAGAGGTTTACTTTTTTAAGTGTTCGATTGTGCATCATAAATACGTTTACATTGGAGCTTGGTCAATAATTTTTACTAATATAATTATCAATTGATTGAAATAGTTAATACTTTTAAAAATTTATGTGTCATGTAAGCATCAAGTGTCTATGAGACACAATGAAAATGAGTTGAAGCATTTGGTTGTATGTTAAAATCAAATTAAAGTATCTACACGTACACTCTCAAAATTGAAATATTTATGGTGTTGATGTGCTTAAAAAAAAGATTGAGGAAATTTTGGATAATGTTAAAAACTACAAGGGAGTAAAGTATAGTTACCGAAGTTTCAAGGGAGTTAGTTGAAATTATCCAAAAGCCAAAATAGATAAAGGGTAAAAAAGGAAGACCAAAAAAACCCAAAAAAACATGGCAGTTGCCGCCGCCGTGCACGGCGGTTATCTTCCCTCCAAATTCCGCCGCTTCACTCAGCCAACAGTCTCTCAAATCAGGCCAACGCCACCGCCACCGCCACTATTCATCTCAACAAACCCTAACGACGTAAATCCAATTCACCTTAGAGACCTCTATTCTGTATGCAACCATTCTTGTCACCGTTTTCCGAAACTGAACTCAGAAGGTAGAGTTGAGCCGGTAGATATCGACAAGCTCCGAAAAGCTTTACTTCATAGCTACGTTGTTGCTTCGGTGTTTACGAGACCCGATTTGGCTCCGGAGAATGTATCTGGGTCGGGTTTAACGGGTATTGGTGGAGATTGGATCGGGAAAGTGGTGCCTGTGACGCCGGGAAATGGAGAATTGGTTGGATTTGGACGTGCTGTTTCTGATTCCGGGTTGACTGCTGCAATTTATGATGTTATGGTAAAATTAAAAGTTGATATACAATTGTGTTTTTTTTAATCTTTTTATGTGAATGTGAATTGGTTGAATTATTTGCTTGTAGTTGGTAAAAAGAATATCTTTATGTGGAATATGATTGTAGCTGATATATCTGGGCCATTTAGGTAACGATAGAGGTATATGTGAGTCACTCTTGTAACGAAGGATATATTAGCTCTAAATCATAAAGTTTACAAAGTTGAGGGGTATATTAGGCTTTTTTCCGTTGTTATATTAAGCAACACTTGAATATTATTGAAAACCAAATCCTCTGGGGTTTAAAGGGAGGAGGGTTGCTATAGTTTGATTGAACTTGTTCATAGGAGGACAACTATCATTATTAGCTGACTGGTGATGAGGATTGAATAGGGGATTCCAATTAATTTGGATGTTGATATTATATATCTAGTACTGAAAATTAGAGCATTTTTAGGAACGTTTGAAGGACGTGTGGCTGAGCCTCCATTAAAGTTTGCTCTTTATCAATGCAATTAGATTGCTGATGTACTGAGAGTTATTTTTGGTTTGTACTGTATTATGTTTAAATCTCTACTAATGGTAAGGTTGAAAAAGGGAAAAGGTAAAGTTTGGAGGGTGTGTGACATGCATGCACGATGCAGCGTCTTTTTACCAATACTAAAACCAAATCCTTCGTGCGTATTCATTTTAAAAGTTAATGGCATCTGCATTACTCTTAAATTCAAGGCCAAGTTTAGGCTCAAGATCATCTGTCGAACTTCTGTGCAGTATTATACATGCTAAAGTTACCAATGAACTTTAAAAGAAGAAGAAAAAATAGGTTACTGCCCTTTTCAGTAAAGGATCTTCTGGCCAGCTGGGGTGTTGAGGGAATGCATAACGCAGTGAGGAAAATCTGGAATACAGTGCCAGCATGTAACTTTAGTTCTGATATCTTGGGATATTTATAATCTATGGAGTATTCATGTGATTGTGCTTCAGTAATTTGCAGGTCATCCCTTCACTAAGAAGAAGAGGCATTGGCAGGAAGATAGTTCAAAGGATACTAAGGTTGCTATGCTGTCTTGTTTTCATTATATTCTTATAGCCTACAGGCCCTATAGGCACATATAGGCAGAGGCTGATACAACCTATAAGCTCTTCACATATAATGGTTTGAAATTTCATATTGGAACATTAACCCCCTCTCTCACTCCCCAATCGAAAAAGGAAAAACTAATTTCTTTCTATCTTCATTCTAACCATAGTTATTGAAGCTTCTTTTGCTAATTACAAGCTAGACTCTGTAGATGTATAATGCTTTCACGAGTTCTCCTTTTGACCTTCTTGCTCAAGTTCATGAAGCTCAATTTTCTGGCAGGGTTCTTGTGAACAGAGACATATATGACATAGCAGCCCTCTGTTCTGATCAACAGAAGTGAGTTCATTACTTGTTCGCTACTTTTATTTGTTTCTTCCCTTAAATTTATTATGCTGAATAAGATGCTTCGCATTTGTCTCATCCAAGCAACCACTATAATGGACTAAGAGATATTTGTGTTGATCTAATCATTAGTTTCTTTTTGGCATGCTTTATGTCTTTGTTGCATGAATATGTATAAGCTAACAATTTTGGCATACAATGCAGACATCCTTGCAAAACTGATCCTTGAAACTTTAAACTAAAACTATTTGCTCAAGAGTGAATTGATTAAAATTCCTAATAGACATTCTTCCATGTTGGAGCTTTTTATCTGATAAATTGTCCTATATGTTCATGTGTGATCAAGAAAACTTCCCTGCTGTTATTTAGAAGGAGAAACTTCTATGCTTGTAATTGTTTTACCCTATACTTCCCTAGGCCGTTTTTCGGAGCATGCGGATTTGGAGATGATGTACTGGTATCCACTACAATGATGTATACTAGGTCTGCTTCTACCCACTCAGAGGATGAGCAGATGGTAAAATGTGCTGGTAGAAAGCTTTTATTAGTTCCATCACTAAGAGGAAACCTTAAAATATAATCTCTATTTTTCATGATCAAGTAATGCCAACAGAACTGAAATTTCTTCATGTAACTTCGACGAGACCTCACAACTGCAATTGTCGCTGGAATGTTGTATGCCAGTTTCATTTGGGGAGCTTCCTTGTCCTCCCTCATTCTGTGTTATTATTATGAATTTATCAATTCAAATATCTGAAGGAGAACATCGTAACGGCTGTGAAGGCAAAATGCTAAGATTGTTTTATCTACCCAAGATAGGCAAGCCAAAGTTTGACAGAAGAAAGAGTGGAGAAGCTAAAGATGGAAGGTGATGCATATTGCTTATTGGATAGTGCTGAACCATTTTTAATTCTGTCATTTTTCGAATGTTATCAATGTGTACAGTAAAACCTCTGTTCTTATGTGTACTATGGAGTATCATTGTAATTGCAGTACAAGCTTTGAAATGGACCATACTTGTGTATGATTTCATGTACATACGCCTTATTTGTAAGATTACATTGGATATATTGTTGATTTCATGTATGGACACATTAGTGTTCTAAGGATGAAGTTTTTATTCTATAAGATGACATATCAAACTCAAGCCAATGCATGCAGAATTGCACATCTTGCATTTGCAAGACTCTATTGAGGAATCATTCAACAATAACCACAAATGTTGTCACCTTTCTCCATCATGAGCAAGTGGATACAATACTTGACTATTGATGGGTCTTTCCTATGTGCTAATGCACATTATATCACGAGTTAATTTCAAAATGAAAAAACGCGCAACCTTAATAGGAGATATGTATGAGAAGACTACGTTATTTTCAAGATGAACTTAACAAAAGATCATACATAGTATATTATGAAACAAACACTGCAAAAGTTAAAAGGAATTTACAAATTCCTTGGCATATCAACTGTATCAAAGTCACTAATCTTCTTACAGATATCAAAATTTAATTAGCATTCGGACACAACAATGTTTTTACTCTTGGTCGATTTATCCACAAAAAGAAGGTATCAGTTATAATGCCATGATCAAGAATCAGTATCTGAATCAGATTCCGTCTCCATCTGAAAAGGATTTACTCTGTTTGTATTAGCTTCTAATGGAGGAAGTCCATCATCATCACTTGAGTCTTCATCCTCTTTGATTTGTGACACTAGATCTTGCTTTGAGCTCTCTACTGCTATGGATTTGAAAATCTCTGGCCTGCATAAGAAGGTTTACGGAGAATTAAGCTATTTGAAAATGGTAAGTTCCCTTACTTCATGCTTTTCCTTTTTTTTTCTGTTTGGGGTGTTGCAGAGGGGAGAACAGTAAGCAGTAATATGACCTTCCAAAAGAACATATTGTCTGCAAAGACAGACTCTTGTATATATCAAAACTAGGGACTGTCAAGTATGGCTGTATACCTCAACTCTTTTCCTGTGCGGAGGGGGAAATAGCAATGTGCCAAAAACTTTTATGGGGCAATAATATACATCTAGGACTAGGTGCCGCGAGAGCCTTTCATGTTGTAATCCAAATGACAACTACTATAACATAACGAACTGAATAAATTGGTGAAAAAGAAGTTTAAAATCTCCCAAAATGATGGATGTGAACATACACATTCAAAATTTACTGATTCCTACAGCCCATATTTCAGTGGAAATACAAAATCCAAGGAAGAAACATGACATTGCTTCAAATCAGCAAAATCTGAGTTTTTTCCCTGTCAGAACATCAATGATCAACAACATTATAAACAGTGTAATCCCACAAGTGAAGTTTGGGGAGGTTGGTGTATTAAACCAAAAATGAAGGGTGATAGAAACATTTCTTTGAATATTAGGTTCTCACCATTCTGCAGACTTCTGAAGCACACGAACTTGTTCAAAATAGAGTACCTTCGTAACAACACATCCCACTTTTCTACCTGATTCAACAGCTTCCTCTCGCCCGCTCTCATCAACCACAACAAAGTTGCCTATAAAAGAAAAAATAGTGAACTGGAAGAAAACCAATTTACATCATTCTCACAGAATCAATGACAAAATGAGCATCACTAAATCAACAACTAGATGAATAAATTCCCAAATTCTAGAGGATTATATGATCAAACCTCGTTTTATCCACATGCTCTTCTGGAATTTAGCTGGAAATATTGCTAATGAATTTTCACCTTTAGCATCCATTACCTTCACAATAAGAAAAAATGGAATTTTGAGAACAAGAAGCTCATAGATAAAAAATGAAATCTTAAACAGATATGAAAGAATGAACGCAAACTCACAATAGAAAAAACTGAAATTTCAGACAATGGCTCAAACCCAAATCAAAATAATGCATTGTAAAGCAGATACTAAAGAAAGAACATGACTTTACAATAGGAAATATTGAATATTAAAACCGGAAAGCTCATACCCAGATTAAAAAAGTGAGTTCTTAAACAGATACCAAAGAATGAACACAAACTTACAGTAGGATATATTGAAATTCTAGACCAGAAATTTCAAACCCAAATCAAAACAATGCACTGTAACACACATATTAAAGAAAGAACATGAATTTTTCTGCGGAAAAATTGAATCTCGAGACCAAAAAGCTCAACAACAAAACAAATACCCAGTGCAATCCCACAAGTACGGTCTACGGAGGGTGGTGTGTCCAAAGCCACACCCCTACCTTGTAAAGGTGGACAGACTATTTCCAATAGACCCTCAGTCAAGTAACAACAATATACCCCATGAATCCCACAAGTGGGGTCTTCCTCGTAGAGCTTAAGCAGACTTTACCACTACCTCACCTCAGCTCGAGTATGCATATCCAAAATCAAGTATGTAAAGCAAGCCCAGAATATCCAAAATCAAGTATGTAAAGCAAGCCCAGAAAGCTCAAACCCAGATTAAAAAAATGAATTCTTAAACAGATACCAGAGAATTGACTTGAACTTACAGTAAAATCTATTGAAATTCTAGACCAAAAATCTCAAACCCAAATCAAAACAAAGCACTGTAACACAGACATTAAAGAAAGAACATGAATTTACAATAGGAAAAATTGAATCTTGAGACCGGAAAACTCGTACCCAAATCAAAAAATAAATTATACAATAGATAATCAAAGAAAGAAGAAGAAATTACAATGAATATTTTTTTCATACTTGAATAAGATTGGAACCTCGGAGGTCGACAACTTGCATAATGCTTTGACCCTGTTCAAGGGTAAAATTGTCTTCCTCAATAGCCCTTTTCAAATTCTTCCTTCCTCCTCCTTTCATGGCTACCTTCAACTGAAATTTTCCCTTCTTAGCTTTCCTCTTCTTCTTCCCCCAATTGGAAGCACTCTGTAAACCCTAAAAACCCTTTAGCTTCAAATTGATCCAATTGTTTTTTTTTTTAATTAATAGTGTGTTGTTCGGGTCAATTTTCACGCACCTTAATTATTTCACATAATAATTGTCACTTCCACCGGAACCAGCAACAGTTATAATTGACTATATTCACATCTCAACTAATCTCACGAAATCTTTGTTACCTCTAAGGCTGGCAAACAGACAGGACCGGTTTTACCGGAACCGATCCTCGTTATCGGAACCGTGTCTTACCGGAACCGGTTTTACCGGAAATTTCCACAAGTTCCATCCGGTCCCTTAGTTACCAGATTGGAACTGGTTTGGACCGGACCGAAACCGGTTCTTACCGGATCATTTTGTACCAGTAATTTTTTTTATTTTTTTATTAACTTTAATTATTATATAATATTATATTATTAATTAATAAAATTATATTATTAAAAAACTTCAATTTAAAACTTTAAACTTTAAAGTTACTTTAAAGTTTCAATTGAATTTAAGTTTAAAGTTTAAAATTGACTTTAAATTTTAAAGTTTATAACTTTATATTGAATTTAAAGTTTAAAATTGACTTTAAATTTTAAATTTTAATGTTTATATTGAATTTAAAGTTTAAACCTTAAAATTCAATTTTATATTAAAGTTTAAACTTTAAATTAATATTAAAATAGTTGAAAATTAAATTTCTAAAATGATTTGGATTAAATATAAGAGACTATTTAAAAAGAAAATCAAGGCGAATAGCCGTATATTTATTCAAATAAATAAATTGTACAATACAAATATTAGAAAGAGACAAAGGGTACATAATCTAGGTATTGAATATTAATTACTGTACTAATAATTGAAACTCTTTTTAAAATCTTTTCGTAACTTTTGTATCATTTCAAAAGAAACATTTTTTGGAACTTGTATTTGTCGTTCTTCTTCCATTGCTTCCATACCATCATCACTATTATCACCAAATATTTCATCTATTTCGTCTTCTATTTGGCTATTTAATTGTGGTAGTCCGGTATTTCTTCTTTCGGCATTGACCCAATCTCGAAACAACACCGATATTTCCAAACTACCCTTTGCTAATGAATATCGATGATCTCCAATCATAAATCTTGCCGCACTAAAGGCTTGCTCCGAAGCGACCGATGATGCTTGAATCGCTAGCACATCTCGAACAACACTAGCAAGGGTCGGAAATTGATTTTCACGATTCTTCCACCATACTAATATTGGAGCTTGAAGTTGTCCTTCTTCATGCCTAATCTTTTCCCGTGCCTGATTGAAATATAAATCAAAATCATTATTAGTAGATGATTCAAGCTCAAGATAATCATCTGTATCATCGCTTCTAGGTTTACAAGATGGAGGTTCAACTATTGAAATATTTTTTTCCATAGATTTATATGTATTATATAACTCTCTAGCTTTTATATATATGCTACTTTTACAATCTTCAACACTAGGAGTTTCATCATCTTTAATTTCTAAATTTGCATAAATCTTTTCAACCATTCTTTCAACACCTTTTAATTTGTAATTTGGGTTGAAAGTAATAGCAGTCAAATAGATTTGAGGAATAGGGAAAAAATATTTTTTGAATTTTTCAATCATAAAAGCAAGGGAATCTTCAAATCGATCTTTTCCTTTATATTTCAGATAAAATAGCACAAATATTTACTAAAACAGAAGAAATAGTTTGATAATATTGACCAGAAGCAGCATTTGTTGCTTTATAAAAAGCACTTAAAAATTCAATAAGTTCTTTTGTATTTTCCCAATCTTCATAGCCAATTCTCAAATTC